TAATATCACATTGTCACCCCAAAATTCAAATGCATGACCATCTCAAGGTATTATAAAGCGAATTCAATAGTAATACAATTTTTCCATAGCCCCAAAATATATAAAGAAATCAATACGTAATTCTTTATCAAACGCGACTAAGGCTGGAAAATTTTCCAGTTTATATCCATAGCTACACTTCATTATTTCCAAATCAAACTCCCAAGATATCAAATGATTTATTGCCAAACAGCCTTCACAGATTACGTGCACATTTTGACATGCATTTCGAGTTCCTAACACCTCAAGGCACAATTCCAGGAACCACTTAAAAAAAAATTTCCAAAGTCAAACTGAAAATTCTGGTTCATCCCCCCCGACTATCACTACTCTTCCAGCACTTAGAGTTTTATAAATGCAACTTTTCCTTGGTTAAATCATGGTTTCTAGATTCTCAAGTTTATCACGTGAACCTATGGCCAACTACTTAGCATTTCTGGTTCCATAATCAAATTCGAGCAACATGATTAAGCATCCCAAAGAAAATTCAAGAATCTGTCCAGCAATAACACTGGTTCTTAAAACAGGATTTTCTTTGGTTAGAACCGAATTTTTGGTACTCTATTAGAACTTGAAAACACGTAGCTAGCTAGTAAAGGTTTCCAAATCAAATCCAGATTCATACTACAATTGTACTCATCTAATACAAATCCAGAAATTGTAACAACTAGTCTCGGATGATCATTCATGAAACAGTTTTTCTGTTTTCATTTTATTCTCTTGGTTAGCCGAGCTACTAGACCTCATGCAAGCTTCAATCAACATGTTGTTAACTGGTTAATCGCATTTATTCACTCAAATCATCACCATAAGACAGATTGAAAATTATATTTCAGATTCAAGATCTCGGAAATTTTCAGTTCACTAGAATTCCAATTCACAAAACCAGAATTTTCCAAGTCCCTAGTTTCATTGCCTAATCGTGTAACTCAACACGCAGGCCCTTAAGCATTTTATCTTCACTTGGGTAGTTAAGATTATAACCACAGCTCGTCAAAATTAGGCAAATTAAGCAAATCATTTCTTAACCAGTCACGGCAGAAATTTTCTCCCTCAAAACAGAATTTCCTAAGTTCCTTAATTCATAAATCAACTTCATAGATTTAACATGCAGGGTCCTAAACATCTTAGTCATGAAGTTTTACTCGGCTAATTACACTTGAGTGCTCAGGTTGTCACAGGAAAACAGAATTTCAGTTGCATTTCCAAACCATTCTCTCGGCAGAATCATTTTCATCAAAACAGAATTTTCTAAGCTCCTTAGTTCATCATCCAATATTTTCTTCAGTTGAAGCCTTTTATTTTGCTCTTAATTCTCACATGCACAATTGCTGAGTTAATTAGCTAACATGTCAGTCCAGAAATCAGCTCGGCAGCAGCAAAATATATTCAGAATTCCAGAACTTTGTGCAACTACACTCGGATGAGCTTGCATGAAGAATTCTGTTTCATATCTTATTTTCCAGTGTAATTCGGCTAGTTAAATTCATGCATGATTTTATCATCTTGTTTTCAGGTGATTAATACACAAATGCAACCATTGATCATCCCACAAATAACAATTTAAAACTACAACATCCCAGCTCAAACTCACGGCAGTACCACTTTCTCTTCCAAACCAGTTTCTGGTAGCTTAACATCAAATTATCACATGGCTAATTACATCATTCGAGCTTAAAGTCCTCACATGCAAGTTCAAAGCTTGCTTATACTACCTCTGGTTAACCATTTTACAGTCCAGAAATTTACCTCTCAAGATGCTCACTCACTCGACAGGATGCTGAAGTCTATCCCTCCCTCTCTCGGCTCTTCTCCTCACGCACAGGTAAGTTGGTTCTGGTTGGATTGTAGTGGGTGCAGCTGGTGATGGTGGAAGCTGGATAGCAACCGGCTGAGCTTGGAGAATGCAGAGGAAAGTTTGCTCACAGTTTCTCCTTCTCTCCTCCCTCTTCGATACTTGCGGACAGAACCAGAAATGTAATTCGCAGCTCACAGCTTCCTCCCTCACTCTCGGCTATATGGTGCAGCTCACCTTCCTTCACTCTCGGTCGATGATAACAATGTGGAGGTGGAGTGTTGGTGAGGATCAAGTGTGCAGATGGTGAAGAAGAGCATTGGCCGGATGGAGAGGTGCAATATTATTATGTCCGAGGGAGTGTTTGGCGGTGCGTGGAATGGTTATGGTCGTGGGTAATTTTGTGACATTGTGAGGGGTAGTTTAGTCTTTTCACTTCTCCTCCTATTACCCACTTAAGTCCTTGGTTCTAACTTAGCTCCACAAATTGTCCCCAAATGTGATTTGACCGCCTAATTCTTCGCTAATCTTGCAAGGCTTTGATTATCGAAATTTTTTTTTTTACATCTTAAGTATGTTTAGAGTACTTGTATTGTTTTTATCTAGAATTTATCGGTTGCATAAAAAAATATTAAGATTTCTAACTACGATTATCCTTATTCGAAATTAGAATTAGCTATGTAACAAAAATTAAGGCATTATTTTCAAGGAGTAAACTTAATATAACTCAAGAATTATTAACTTAGTGTAGCAAAGCTAAGTGCTTTAATAGTTAGCACCGTTGTATTATTTTGCGCACGAAAATTATTTTTATTTACTTATTTAAAACAAATGAAATAATGTTGTAGATTAGAGTAAGAACTACGAATGAAATATGCACTAGTATATAAAAGCGAGTGAAAGTAATACTAGAAAAAAAATTAAGGAATACGAATGCTATATAAAAGTGAAATTGAAGTATGCGTTGGTATTTAACTGCAAAATTCAAGGTTCTCACATCCTCCCCTCCTTACAATGAATTTTGTCATCAAAATTCACATATTCCGAATAAATAAATCGGGATACTTTTTCTGCATTTCTTCTTCTAACTCCCAAGTTGCTTCCTCGAGTCCATGATTCTTCCATAAAATCTTCACCAGAGGAATCTCCTTATTTCTCAGTTCCTTCATTTCTCATTCCAAAATCCTGACCGGTCCTTCTTCATATGTTAACGTCTCATCCACCTCAATTCCTTCTAGTGGCAGCACGTGACTTGGATCAGAATAATATTTCCTAAGCATGGAAACATGAAATACATCGTGAATCTTAGCCATGCTTGCAGGCAACTTCAATTGATACGCTACTAACCCAATTCTTTTCAAAATTTCGAAAGGTCCGATATACCTTGGCTTCAACTTCTTACCTTTCTTAGACACTACTCCGCCCTTCAAGGGTTTAATTCTGAGGAAAACCTTGTCTCCTAATTCGAATTCCAAATCTTTCCTCCTTGTGTCGGCGTAGCTCTTTTGTCTACTCTGAGCAACTTGAAGCCTTTCTCTAATTAGTTTTACTTTTTCCTGTGCTTCCTCGATCCAAGGTATAGCTGTAGGGTCTACGACTTTCTTTTCTCCAACTCATCCCAATGAATCGGAGATCGGCACCTTCTTCCATACAAAGTTTCATAAGGTGCCATTTGGATCGAAACTTGATAGCTATTATTATATGCGAATTCCACCAAGGTCATATATTGGCTCCACTTACCTCCAAAATTCAGTATACACGACCTCAGTAAATCCTCCAAAGTTTGAATTGTCCTTTCCGATTGCCCGTCGGTTTGGGGATGGTACGCAGTGCTAAGCTTCAGCTTGGTCCCCAAAGAGTTCTGAAATTTCTGCCAAAAACGCGAGACAAATCTTGGGTCTCGATCAGACACGATACTCACTGGAATACCATGTAACCTTAGGATCTCTTCTGTGTACAACTTGACCAATTTCTCCAATGAAAAACTCATGCTTATAGGTAAGAAGTGTGCAGACTTAGTGAGTCGATCGACTATTACCCAAATTGCATCAAAACCTTTTTGGCTTTTAGGTAGTCCCGTTACAAAATCCATTGTTATGTGTTTCCATTTCCATTCAGGGATTTCTAACGGTTGCAATAAACCAGAGGGTTTCTGATGTTCAGCTTTTACTTGTTGACAGATCAGGCATCTTTGTACAAATGCTGCCACGTCCTTTTTCAAACCTTCCCACCAGTACAATCCCTTTACATCGTGATACATCTTAGTCACACCTGGGTGTATGGTATACTTCGACCGATGTGATTCTTCTAGAATTTCTTTTCTTATCTCTTCATCTGCCGGAACCACAATTCGATCTCGAAACCTCAATACCCCTTCAGGCCCTAATTTGAAGTCTAGAGTTTCCCATTTTTGCAATTTCTCCAAATTCTTCCGAATCATAGGGTCCGTTTTCTGGGCCTCCTTAATACGCTCTAGTAACGGTGACTTCAATGATAAGTTCCCAAATAAAACCTTCAATTTCTCCAAGCGAGGGTTCCAACCACTTATCTCTTCTAACATATCCCACTCTTTTACCATTAACCCTGCTACTTGGGCCTTCCTACTTAGAGCGTCAGCCACCACATTGGCTTTTCCTGGATGGTAATTAATCAAGCAGTCATAATCTTCCAGAAATTCTACCCATCGCCTTTGTCTCAAATTCAGCTCCTTTTGGGAGAACAAGTACTTGAGACTCTTATGATCCGTAAAAACCTCAAAAGTCACGCCATACAAGTAGTGTCTCCATTTCTTCAAGGCGAAAATTACTGCAGCTAGTTCTAGGTCATGAGTCGGGTAGTTCTGTTCGTGGGATTTCAATCTCCTGGAAGCATAGGCGACCACCTTACCCATTTGCATTAAAACGCATCCCAGACCTTCTCTGGAAGCATCAGAATATACAGCATACCCTTCACCTCCATCCGGTAAAACCAAAACGGGAGCGGATGTTAATCGCTTCTTTAGTTCCTGAAAACTTGACTCGCACTTCGGAGTCCAGACAAACTTAGCCTCTTTCTTGGTTAGCTCAGTCATAGGTCCTGCAATTTTCGAGAAATTCTGGATAAATCGCCTATAATAACCTGCTAAGCCCAAGCAACTTCTAACCTCGGTTGGAGTTTCTGGTTGTTTTCAATTCATAACGGCCTCAACTTTTGCCGGATCCACGGTAATTCCATCTTCAGAAACTCTGTACCCTAGAAAAGATATTTCAGTCAACCAAAACTCACACTTGCTGAATTTGGCATACAACTTATGTTCTCTTAGTATCTGCAAAATCACCCCTAAGTGCTTAGCATGCTCCTCTCGAGTCTTAGAGTAAATCAAGATATCATCTATGAAAATCACTACAAACTGGTCCAGATATTTCTTAAAAATTCTCTGCATTAGGTCCATGAAAGCAGTTGGTGCGTTGGTTAATCCAAAAGGCATGACTGCAAACTCAAAATGTTCGTATCTGGTACTAAAAGCAGTCTTAGGTATATCTTCCTTCCTGATCTTCAACTGATAGTACCCTTGCCTTAAATCCAGCTTAGAGAAGACCACTGACCCTTGCAGTTGGTCGAACAAGCTATCAATCAACGGTAGAGGGTATTTATTCTTAATTGTAGCCTCATTTAACCCTCGGTAATCGATACACAGCCTCAAGCTTCCATCTTTTTTCTTAACGAATAGGACGGGTGCACCCCAAGGTGAATCACTTTCCTTAACAAAACCCTTCTCCAACAGGTCCTGTAATTGAAGCTTCAATTCTTTTAGCTCGGCAGGAGCCATTTGATACGGGATCTTAGAAATTGGAGCCGTTCCAGGCATCAAGTCAATCTTAAATTCCACTTCCCTTTCCGGTGGTAGAGCACTTAGCTCTTCGGGAAAGACATCCGGAAATTTCCGTACCACTGGTACATCCTCCAGTTTCACTTGATCACTGGGAGCGTTTATCAAAAAGGCTAGAAAACCTTGCGCTCCTTTAGACAACATTTTCCTTGCTCGAATTCCTGAGATCATAGCAGATGATGCTAACCTACCCTTGACATCTAACCTCAGGGTTGCTTCACCAGGTATACAGAATTCCACCACTTTTGCTCGACAGTCAAGTTTAGCATGATAACGGCGTAGAAAATTCATTCCTATTATAACATCGTAACCTTTTATGTCCAGACTGATCAGATCCACCAGCATTTTACGCTCTCTAATCCAGAACTCACAATTCTTATAAGCCAAGCTAATGATTACATTCTTATTACCCATGGGTGTCCTAACCTCAAGGTCGAAGAGTAATCTAACAGGTTGCACATCTATTCCAGACATAAAAGATGGATTTACGAATGAATGGGTTGCACCGGGGTCAATCAATAATTTAGCTAATCGGTGAAAAATCGGAAGTGTACCTTCCACCATCTCCGAGGAATCAGGTACAGGTTGGTCACCTATAGCATACACTCGAGCAGGAACTGTCGGCCGGCCTCCTCCAGAGGTGTTTGGTCTAGCGTTTGGGGTAGTCCCACCTTGCATTTTGGGACATCCAGCAATTTGGTGCTCGCTACTGCCGCATCTCAAACACTTCCCTAACTTCTTCCAACAACCATCTATAGTATGGCCAGGTTCCTTACAAAATGCACAGTTCATTTGGGGAACTATTGTTCGACCCCCCTGCGAGGTATTTCTAGGTTGTCCCCTTCCAATCGGTCCCACTCTGGTTCCGTTATTTCGTCCTCCCGCATTCCTGGCCCCGTTTTCTCTTGCGTGGACGCCTCGTGGTGCTCCAGGACTATTCACTCCAATGGTTCCTCGGCCTACTTTGGCCGGTGGAGCATTGCCATACGTCGGTTCCCGACTGCTGCTAGGAGCAAATCTTTTCTTGGCCTGAAAAGATTTCACTTGAGCCCTAGCTACTTCCACTCTCTGGGTTTTCTCGACGGCATCCGCGAAAGTATCTATCCTCACGGCAGCTAAACCTTCCTGCACTTCTACATTCAAACTCTGCACAAACCTTCTGACTCGCCTTTGCTCCGTGGCTACCAATTCGAGAGCAAATCGAGATAGCTTGGTGAAGTGGATTTCATACTCGGCGACACTCATCGCCCCCTGCTTACATTTTATGAAATCATCCTCCCTCTTTTCTTGGATGAGCGGTGGAAGAAATTTGACATTGAACTCCCTTGTGAAGTTTGCCCAAGTTCTTGGAGTATGATTCCTGTCCCAGTTAGTCCTAACCAGATTCCACCAGGAGCGAGCAGCTCCCTCAAACTGGAATGCGGCAAAAGTTACCTGCCGCTCTTCCGGGTAGTTCAAAGCTGCGAAGATGTCAGAGATTCTCTCCCACCATCCCTCAGTTATTTCAGGTTCAGATCCTCCGTAGAACTTAGGAGGTCCAAACTTTAGAAACCTCTCCAGTGCCCGGTCGTCGGAATCGGCGGGACCTCCTGGATGACGCACTGGTCCAGCAGCTTGGTGTTCAGTCAAGCGCTCTAGGACGTCAGTGATACGGTTAATAGCGGTGGTCACTCCGTCTCCGGCCCCTCCCTCTTGCCCTTGGTCTGGATTGACCTCGGGCTCTCTATCTCTACCAGCTTCCGGGTGTTGTCTAGTGGGTCTCCCACGGCCCCTTCCTATCACTTGGCGATCCATGGTTTAGTTATGCCTAATATGGAAAGAATACGACAATTAGGAAAATTGTTTGCTTATTCATAACTGTTGTTATTCCTTTTGTAGCTAAAATCAACTTTAAAATAGAGAGAAGAGGAGATAAAGCATTAATCATATATTCATGCGTGAAATTCATACAGATAGCAAGTTGGGGCAGTTCCAAAAGTAAGGCACATAACTAGTAAAAATACATACAAATAATCTCTTAAACAAAAATTAGGGATATGGTGCCTCGGAAACAAGTCATCTACCTAGACAAAACTTGATGATCTAGCTAATGTTCCCCTATTCTAACCCTACATAACCAATATGGTCGAGTCGATCCAAGCCTAACCCTCAGCAGGGCTATCAGGAGCTACGTCCTCCTCCGGATTCTCCTCCGGGTCCTCCTCTGGATCCTCCTCCGAATCTTCCTCCGGGTCCTCCTGCTCGACACTCTGAAGGATACTCGTGGCCTCATCTATCATCATCGCGGCATCAGCCCTGATACCGACGCTCCTATCACGTATCCTTTCGGCCAGTCGGGTCACCCTCGCTCTCTGACGCGCTATCTCTACGCGAGCAGCCTCCAGCCTAGCATGCTCCGCTGCTACCCTCTGCTCTAGCTCCGCTATGCGGTCGAACTGAGTGTCCACCATGATACTCAGCTCCTCTACGTCCCGAGACAAAGTGAAGTTAGCATCCCTCAGCTGGCGACGCTCATCATCCAGGGATAGTACTAGCTCATTGGGGTAGGCATAAGTAGCCCTACACTGACACCGAGGATGCCTGTCAGTTGGGATGTAACGTATATGAGCTCCTCCACCTCGTGGCCTATAAGAGATGGACCTAAGAGGCTCTATATGTCCATCAGACGCCCCAATACCATTAGCGTGTCCATTACCATTCTCCATAACTGCAAAAGAATTAAAACTTAGGGGTTAGAACTCAAATAACTAATCGAATCGGTATTACTTAGGATATATCTAATGATCTCGATTCTTACTTCTGAAAAGTTCGGGGTTTCTAACTCGTATAGTATATCTCTCAAATAACTTTTCTAACCTAGGCTCTGATACCACCTGTGGCGACCCCACTTCCCCCTAAGGCGAACCAAAGGGTTGGCGGGCCGTCTGCCCAACTCTCGCCAGGACTCACGCAAGCATTCTAACCTAAATCCTTCCGACGATTATCCTAGGCTATTACAATAACGATTCTTCCGAAAGTAAATCGATTTCTATCACCACATTAGCTTCAAAGATAACAGCATATAAATTAGCCAATCGACGGCTCTTAAATACTCCACGCGTCACTCGCAAGGGTTAAGGACATACTACACCCATACAAACATACAAATTGAGTATTAGAATTAGAGATTACACTTTTTCAGCTTCAAGTGGCAATCCAAAATGAAAAATACAATGCTTAGCTTAGAATTCATTACAAACCGAAAATTACATTCAAACTGTTCAAGTACAACCATAGGAAAATATAAGCTGCTCAAATACTTTCAAACTCCTCATCCTGTAAGGAAAACAAATAAACATGGGGTGAATTAAAGCTCAGAGGTGCCCCAAATCATGCAGTCACGTAAATCAAACAACGAGTAATAACTTAAACAAATTTAGCAACTAGGAAAGCGTATAACAGCACAAGGTAGGATACAGGGGCTCTCAGGAGCCATTTTCCTCGCTTGGTCACCATTCATCGTAGTTGACCCTCCGTCAACTCTCACTACCTACAATCCATGTAGAGCATCTCATTTTGATACCTAATCCGTCACCATTCATACCCCGGTCCCGGGCCCGCTCGCCGACTAAGGACGTAGTATACTCGAGATATACTCGTCATGGTAGTTGGATACAGGAGTCGAGGGGTTCACCCAACGACGCAACTACATTTAGATTTATGGTAGTTAGATTCATGCGTCGAGAGATTCACCCAACGACGTAACTACTTTTAGATTTAAGGTAGTTAGATTCATGCGTCGAGGGATTCACCCAACGACGTAACTACTTTTAGATTCAAGGATTCAGGAGGAAAATATTTTTGCACAAGTCACCACTCGAACGGCTAGTGCGATAAAGTACACACAGCTCATTTCGATGGATCAAAATCGGATTTGCAAATTGCCACATACCGAGTCAAGAAAGCACTTTAAACAGGTAAGTATAGAACAGACAGGGACACTCACCCAGAGTGAAGTTCAGATGTCAAGTTGGGAATCGAATTCCGCGTCCTCGCAATATCCTAGAATACCAAATTTTGAATCTATAAGTTGTCTATTCGAATTTTAAACTTATTCGTGAAGGAATTTATTTACTATAATACTAGTTTACTTTCTCAAGAAATTTCAAAAGTCTATTTAGATTGAAACTTGACAAAAGTAGTAAAAATGTTCCTTATTTTTATCCTTAGAAAAGGGTAACTAGTATTATTTGCTAGAAACAAGTCAACAAGCTTCTCAATATCAAAGTTAGAAGGTTACTTTGAACATTTCTCTAAAGTTACGATTTTTGCAAAATTATCCTTAAAAACTATTTTTCCTAAAATAGGGTTTCTTGCCGAGCAAGTCTCCCAAGCCTTTCACTAAAATTGGTAAAACTCGTATTTTGGAACTTTTCCTATAGTTAGCTATCCAAGTGCAAAGCTTATAGAAAGAAAAGGGATTAAAAATAAGGCTTAGAGTTTTCAAAAGCTATAATACTTAGTTACTATGGCTATCAAAGCTAGATTGAGCTAACGAAAATTATCGATTTGGAAAGTTTTAGGCAAAGCACTAAATATGGAGTTTTATAATATAATACTAGCTGGAAAAATATTTTTGATTAATTTGATCACAGTTACTCGAGTTCGCAGGGTCGATACAATTTCCCCCCGCTCCGATTCCATTTCGAAATCATAATATGGATCAAAATATGGCAAAAATCACATAGCAAATTACTAGGGTTTCGTCAATCATTAGCCCTAGCTTTCAACAATTGCATTACTGAATAAAATAAAATGATCAACCAAGGCTTCATCAATCATTAGTACTTGGTTTCAGCAAACCCATCATAGGCAAATAAAAATAAAAGTAAAGCCCCAAGACTTTCCAGCATTTAACTTCCATCATCCAGTAATATTTTATAAAATCATTCCAATGGCCAAGGGCTTTATCAATCATTAGCCCCTAGCACCCAACCAGTAATTCTTGTAGCAACCAAGCTAACATTTCAAATGTTTAAATTTACTAACAGGTATTTAAAACCAAAGACCAAATTTGCAGCAGCCTCCTACTCAAGTATTTGATCCAAAGCCAAGAAATTCCATCCATAATATCACATTGTCACCCCAAAATTCAAATGCATGACCATCTCAAGGTATTATAAAGCGAATTCAATAGTAATACAATTTTTCCAAAGCCCCAAAATATATAAAGAAATCAATACGTAATTCTTTATCAAACGCGACTAAGGCTGGAAAATTTTCCAGTTTATATCCATAGCTACACTTCATTATTTCCAAATCAAACTCCCAAGATATCAAATGATTTATTGCCAAACAGCCTTCACAGATTACGTGCACATTTTGACATGCATTTCGAGTTCCTAACACCTCAAGGAACAATTCCAGGAACCACTTAAAAAAAAATTTCCAAAGTCAAACTGAAAATTCTGGTTCATCCCCCCCGACTATCACTACTCTTCCAGCACTTAGAGTTTTATAAATGCAACTTTTCCTTGGTTAAATCATGGTTTCTAGATTCTCAAGTTCATCACGTGAACCTATGGCCAACTACTTAGCATTTCTGGTTCCATAATCAAATTCGAGCAACATGATTAAGCATCCCAAAGAAAATTCAAGAATCTGTCCAGCAATAACAATGGTTCTTAAAACAGGATTTTCTTTGGTTAGAACCGAATTTTTGGTACTCTATTAGAACTTGAAAACACGTAGCTAGCTAGTAAAGGTTTCCAAATCAAATCCAGATTCATACTACAATTGTACTCATCTAATACAAATCCAGAAATTGTAACAACTAGTCTCGGATGATCATTCATGAAACAGTTTTTCTGTTTTCATTTTATTCTCTTGGTTAGCCGAGCTACTAGACCTCATGCAAGCTTCAATCAACATGTTGTTAACTGGTTAATCGCATTTATTCACTCAAATCATCACCATAAGACAGATTGAAAATTATATTTCAGATTCAAGATCTCGGAAATTTTCAGTTCACTAGAATTCCAATTCACAAAACCAGAATTTTCCAAGTCCCTAGTTTCATTGCCTAATCGTGTAACTCAACACGCAGGCCCTTAAGCATTTTATCTTCACTTGGGTAGTTAAGATTATAACCACAGCTCGTCAAAATTAGGCAAATTAAGCAAATCATTTCTTAACCAGTCACGGCAGAAATTTTCTCCCTCAAAACAGAATTTCCTAAGTTCCTTAATTCATAAATCAACTTCATAGATTTAACATGCAGGGTCCTAAACATCTTAGTCATGAAGTTTTACTCGGCTAATTACACTTGAGTGCTCAGGTTGTCACAGGAAAACAGAATTTCAGTTGCATTTCCAAACCATTCTCTCGGCAGAATCATTTTCATCAAAACAGAATTTTCTAAGCTCCTTAGTTCATCATCCAATATTTTCTTCAGTTGAAGCCTTTTATTTTGCTCTTAATTCTCACATGCACAATTGCTGAGTTAATTAGCTAACATGTCAGTCCAGAAATCAGCTCGGCAGCAGCAAAATATATTCAGAATTCCAGAACTTTGTGCAACTACACTCGGATGAGCTTGCATGAAGAATTCTGTTTCATATCTTATTTTCCAGTGTAATTCGGCTAGTTAAATTCATGCATGATTTTATCATCTTGTTTTCAGGTGATTAATACACAAATGCAACCATTGATCATCCCACAAATAACAATTTAAAACTACAACATCCCAGCTCAAACTCACGGCAGTACCACTTTCTCTTCCAAACCAGTTTCTGGTAGCTTAACATCAAATTATC